AGGAAGTACTGTATACCATATTTGATCAATTTTCGAAGACCTGTTTTTTGTTAACTTGCATGATTGTTTGGTTGGGAGTGTTTATTCTGACCAAAATTGTTGGCATAGCCAGCTTCTGGAGAACACTCAATATCTCTGCATGGATGGTAAAAATTGGCTGGTGATCAATTTAAGTGGCAAACTTGTTAAAATAATACCAACTTGCAGCTACTTGGTTCACCTCAAGAATATACATTTTAACAGAATCTTGCAATGACAATATCAAGTGATTATCTGACCATAAAACCAAAAGATGGCTATTTGTACCAGTACTTATAATATAGTAAAAACTAAGTTAAGAGGATTTAGAACATTAAATGTACTGTTTGAGTTAAACTAATAAAAATACGTACAAGCGTACAGTAGTGTAGCAGCATAAAGATGTGGCACTAAAATACGTACAAGCGTACAGTAGTGTAGCAGCATAAAGATGTGGCACGAAAATACGTACAAGCGTACAGTAGTGTAGCAGCATAAAGATGTGGCACGAAAATACGTACAAGCGTACAGTAGTGTAGCAGCATAAAGATGTGGCACAAAAATACGTACAAGCGTACAGTAGTGTAGCAGCATAAAGATGTGACACGAAAATACATACAAGCGTATAGTAGTGTAGCAGCATGAAGATGTGGCACGAAAATTGCTAAGTACCTGTAGGCCCTACTTAAAGTACAGTATTTAAGGATTTAAAACATTAATGGTACTGTTTGAGCTAAACTAATAATAAGGAAAAATAATACAACAATTACAGTATATGAAATGCTTACTAATAATTTGAAGTGAAAATGATACTTAATTTGTTTGTACAAATATTTTCAAGTCATCCTATTTCAGATAAATTTTTAAAGGAGGCAAATGTATGTCTACAAAAATGTTTAAATTACAGTAATTATGAATAATTTGTCATTAACAATTGCTACCTGTATTAAAGTATATATTTCTACCTGATTAAGTTATGAATTATACTAACTGTAGTGTAAGTGATATTTTGAAAGCATACAATTGTCAGGTTATATGTATTTTTCATTAATGAATTTTGAATACTTTATTCTGCTATTAGTATTATCCATTTCATACTAAAGATCATAGGTTTTTTTTTTTATTGCAGCCTATAGCATTTTAATGAGAAACACATTTCTGTAGTCAGTTTACATTGTTTTCAGTGTAAGCATTTTAAAAGTTCTAATTTTGCTACCTTTAATACAATTCAGTAGTAAATGACTGATTTGAGTGAAATTTTGTACTGTTCCCTGGAGACTCCGTAACCCACTGGGAAAAATAAATCAGGCGATATTATTATCTTTAACTGGTTAAGTACCATATAACCTTCATGCGAGGAAGTCTATGAAAATATTCATTAAAGCAGCTATAAAGCATACATCTACGTAAATTGCATATCATTGCAATACAGCTTTCATTATATTAGGCCAAATAATTTTAAAACCATGTTTCTTCTCCATTTCCGTTTTTTTTTTTTTTTTTTTTTTTTTTGATTGAAGGCATGAGCCAAACCATCATGCTTGTGCATCTGATCACATTCTTGAACAATGTGTGTGTGCATACAGTTTTTTTCTTTATAATTTTCTTTGCCAAGGCTCACTGGTTTTTTATATTTTTGCCAATTTCAGGCTCAAAATGTTGTTAGTTTTGTATTTAATTTACACTCATTTCAAGATCAGAAATTATTGTACAGCAGTATACATTTTTTTTTCATAAGAACACATCTGAGGCTAAAATTGCTTAAAAATTAAGCAAATTGAGGCTGAGGCAAAATGTCAACTGAGGATTTTATTTTTTTGTTTATATAGAAAAACTAAGAAATTTTATCTGTACCTTATGTGTGGTAGGTGTGATCTAATACAGTACTATACAATACCCTCTTTACTGTACTACAGTAAAGTAATATACTGCTGTGTGTAAAAATAATAACATTTTGAGGCTGAAATCGTAAAAAAAATAAGAACACTGAGCTTGGGCAAAAGTTTACTGGTTCTACTGTATAAAAAATGTGTATATTTTTTTTTGCACTTCATACTGTATATTTAATAATCTACATCTTTGTTTTTATAAGAACCAGTAAAATTTTGCCCAGACTCAGTGTTATTATTTTTTTTGCCGATTTCAAGCTTATTTTTTATTATTTTACACAAAGAGGATTATTATTTTAGAGCATTATTATACTGCATTATAGAAAGTATAACATAGTCACACCTAACTGCACATAAGGTATACCAGTAAATATGATTAGTTGGTTTTCTAGTTAAGGAAAAAACTAAAAACCTCATTTGAAACTCTATCTCAGCCTCAATTTGTTCTTATTTTGTTCTTAATTTTTTAAGCAAATTCCAGCCTCTCTGTTCTTATAAAATGTGTTCTTATTGAAAAAAAAACGTGTAACTCAAAATAATATACCCATTGCTAATGTATAGTCTCCCTCAGCTTTCATGGAACTGTGTGTTCACCTCACAGAAAAGTAGTTTTTTAATTGTCACTAATAATTAGTCAGTCACCCATTTGCAGGAAGTAAAAATTAATAATAGCAGCATTTAGTAAGTGGAATTGTCAAGGACAGGTTTGGTGGGTGGGAGGGGAGAAAGCTTTCTTTTGGAAAGTAAAAAAAAAAAAGAGGTTATTTCCGGGCATCTAGAAAACAAAAATGTCGCGATGGCATGCCCGAAACCCCCTGGGTAGTGTTGTCTTTCGATAGTTTCCCCTCCCTTTCGGGCATTTCTAGATCCGCCCCTGATTGTGGTGTACAATAACAATATAATAATTGTACTGTATTCAAAACCATGAGGTCTGGACTCATATCTTACAGTACTACAATACACAGATTGCACTTCATTTCCTGGATAAAATATTTATCTTATTGTTAGGAAAACTTTTTGTGAAACACTTTCCTGTTATCTAACATTTGATTAGTGTTAATACTGTTCCATCTATAAAGGCTTCTGTTTGTTATTTGGCTATTTACTTTTCAAGGCTGTCGTTATAGAACTATTCATTTGATCGTTTCCTGTAGTTTTCTGCCTTTCAGCTAAATTATGCATCCTCACAGCTTGTTTGATTATTCATTTTGCATGTCGAGCATATTGATAATTTGAACTGAGGTTGGTAAATATAATAAAGTGTATTCCAGAATTGTTGGCTTCGGACAGAAAAAGCAGTAATAATATCTTTCTAATAAAGCATCTAAAGCTGGTTACTCACTGCGTGCAACGGCGACGCGATGGCAATGCAACAAAGAACGCACGCAAAGACGCAGACCCAACGGATCGTCTTTTTAATGAGGATCCGCTCAGACTTCCACTGACAATCAGCAAAAGGCGTTGCGTCATCTGTCGCTCACCTAAAGCAAATGTGGATTCATTATACAACGCAGTGAGTGTCCGGCTTTACAATAAACATGTAAAACCTTGAATTGAAGCCCAGTGGGCTTAATCTTGAGATGAAGCCCATCTTGAATTGAAGCCCCCTCTTTCGTTTGCAAAATTATTCTCGAAAAGTAGCCCATCTCGAAAAGAAGCCCTTGGGCTTCTTTTCAAGACAGCATAGGCTTCTTTTCGAGATAGTACAGTATAAACACTACATGAATTTCAGAAAACAAATAAAATAAAAACGAACTTGAACCCATTCAAAGTTCGCAAAAAAAAAAGAAGCCCCCCCCAGGGCTTCAATTCGAGGTTTTACGGTACCACTAGATCTATAAATTAAATTAGTAATTTAATATCCATATGTTATAAACAATAATATCATCTATCTAGATCACGTTTTTTTTATATTATTCATAATACTGTGTTATATCTGTGATCTGCAAACAATTACACTGTACCAAACGTTTTTTTTTTTTATCACTTAATGCATGATTATTAAACATTGTGAACATTGAGCCATATATTTATAAGTAAGCTTATTGATAAAAAAAAAATATGGATAGCAAAAGGTGTAGTAATTTGTCATTATTAAAATGCAGGTTGTTGTAGCTGTTCTAATAGCTGAGAGCTACAGTACGGTAGTTTGCAGATATATTCAAAAGAGTTTTTACTGGCATGTCTATGTTAAAGATCAGTTATTAAACAAATCAATTACGATTAGTAGTTAGTTGCAGTGGTCCATAAAGTTCAGTAACTAATAACTTTTATAAATAAATGATAATAATAATTTGTGTGTTTGTCTACTGTATATACTTTGACCTTCGACATCGTTATGTTCATTTGAAACTAACAGAAGCTTATAAACTTACAAATACTGAAAAATGCTGAATAATGTTCAGTATTCTAGTTACTGTACTGTATCTGATAACAACTTTTAAAAAATGATTGTAATATCATTGTCCTCAAAGTACTGTATATAGTGCACTTCATGAAGTTGTTTACATAAAGTATTATTTTTCAGCAGAATAGGTTTCAAGCTATTGTAAATTAGTCAAGTGCGATATAGCATGCTTTCTTCTGTTGCTTCTTTTTACATTATTTGTTTATGTCCCTTTCACAGAAGTCTTCAATATTACAGATTATGTGGTAGAAAGTCCACAATTGATAAAAAAAGATCTTTATTTACCAACATTTAAATTAACCTTGAGGGGAAAAAACCTGTATTCAAGAAAAAAAGAATTAAGGTGCAGCATTTGCTATAGTATATAATATGGCATATATTAGTTCAGTTGATATTGAAAGACTTAATAATTAACAACAAAAAAATGATTATTGCTGTAGAGAAATATCTTTAGAAAGAAATAAACTAAAAGATAATACAAACTTGGTACTGTTTAGAGGCTTGAATATGATACAAAAATCCTGAAGGCGTTTATTCCCAATAGCGTCCCGATAAATTATATAGAACGTCAATAACAATTAAGATTTTATTAATTATTAATTTCTGGTATGCAGTGTTGAAGCGAAATTAACAGAAGGTGATTGAAAATATGATGCTTAATTCTGTTTTTTTAATTTGCCTTTCAGATAGCGTGTATATAGATAGTCAGCGACCTGACCTCCCGTATTTCATCGGAACTATCCAAGAGTTTAAAGTGGTAAGTTAATTGGTTGATTGATTAATTAGTAACGCTGCGTAGGTTCTTATTAGTTAGTATCCGATAGAAAATTCACTGGCGTGCCAACACCTTGGTTAAAAATATGCTCTGTGATTTTTAAGAATGATGTTTATAATTGGCATTGGCCACGGATACAAACACAGTGACAATCAAGTGTAGAAATTGATCCCAAAATATTGAGATACTTTTAATAACTGAATCCTTGCCATGTATAAATCCATGTTTTTAACCTGTCTTAACAGTAATTTGCAATAACAGAAATACTATTTAATTCTTTCATACTGTATGCATGATGGGGCTAGGTAGTGGAGTTGTTTTTAAGCATGATGCGATTTGAAAGGTTTTGATCCATGACCTCATAATTGGAAAGCAGGTTCCTTACCACCATGAGACAGCATACCTTCCATACAGATCTACTGTACTGAAAATGTTATGAAAATATGTCACTGTTTCTATATTTTGAATTCAAAATATTCTCTTTTGTAATTTATATTTTAAAATAATTCAGAACTTATTTAATAAATCAAACGCTACTGTTGATCTGTTTTCTGTTACTTTTGTCTTGTTTTTCTTATAAGCAATATCATGTTCCACTAGTTTGAGGCTCATATCTGCCGACTTTCTTGATACGCTTGGGTGAACACCGGCCGTTCATTCTCATTTAGGATGGCGATAGTACACCGTTGGGTGTGTGTAATTGCATCGGTAATTGGAAACCAATCAGATTTTATCCATGCCAGACATGTGGTGGAATTGATACATCATGAGATTGACTCCCCACTCGCTAACCTATCACATATAATTATGACAATGCAAATGATAATGTAATGATATAAGCAGTGCGATCATGAATATGCTGCTGTCTACTATTGTATACCATAAAATTTAATATTTATTCAGCTGCACGTGATCCTATTTATTGGTTATGATCCGGCCTTAAAATAATAAATTACAATTGGATCAAGAAATTATTATATTTTTGTTAAAAGGAGATTAAATCCTACACTAAATTCACTGGTATGAGGGGTGAATTTTTCAAACAGGGGGCAGGTTCACCAAATTATAAGTGGGGAGTTCTAACAGCAGTGGCATAACCAGGGGGTCGGCGGCTGTAATAGAAACATTTTGAATTTGTATTCTAGTTTTTTCATATTTCAATACATGTCATGGTATGGATTAAATTTAAAAAATTTAGTGACAAAGGGGTGGAGGAAGATGGGATATGTGCCTCCATTAGATCCACCCCATAGTATTATTGATGATACAACAGATTATTAGTCATTTATTTATTTTTTTTGGCGTCATTGTTCAGGCAAAAACTCAGGTAGCATGAACTGAGTGCTGGACACAAAATCACAAGCACCATAAATTATATTGTCTAAGCAAGTAACAAGAAAAGCACAACTCAAACTGTACAACAGACACAACACACTCAGAAAAATAATAATTGGAGGTACTAGGCAAACAAGTGAGTCTCGAGTGCATGTTTCAAATCACTGGGATCAGAAATCTCCCTAAGTTCACAGGAGATTTGTCCAGATGATTTATTAATGATTCAGCTGTAGATTTTAAGTAATGTATGCACTTGGTCTTCTTCTGGAAAGGTACCCATTAAACAATTGTATATTAGTACTGTATAAGTATGATTCAGTTGCTGTGTTATATTAATAATTTATTATACTATACTTCTTTCTTTATAAATTAGAGTTTCATTTTCATTTTTGAAAATGTTGATGACTTTAATGATTCATTCTATCATACAGGTTATTTAATCATGACATTTATTAATGTCGTATATCTATTTGATATTGAATATGTTATTGTATGAGGTATTAATGGCTTCTCTCTACGTTTAGCTTAATAACATGTTCGATATCACATACACCTTGTCTTGTAATTTTGTATACTATGCAGACTTTTATTAGCCACAGTAGAATAATTTCCTAGATTTGCCCGATGTCAAGTGGGTGATGAAGCCATGTGTATCTGTCCATACAATTACGTCGATTTAAGCTTTTTTAGCAGCCTTTTCACGCATTAATTCTCTCTAGTGTACCTGCTTATGTCAACTTAACTTGCCATTCATTTCGCATTCTCTAAGGCCGTACACCACTGGGCGGATTAGGCCTAGAATATATGCAATAGAGTCTTTGACAAAAGCATGCCAATCAATAATATACACAAGCCTTTGATGTCTTGAGGTTTAATGTAAAGTGACACGCTTTGTTTGATGTTCTTCAGAAATCTAATAACCACAAATCTATCACTTTGATATTTATCATCCTTATCCCCACCGCAATTTTCTATTAGGCTTGTATGTGTTTATTAATGGTCCTGTGGTACGGATGTGGGTACTGTACTGTTGGCCTGTTATTAATTATTTTTGTATCGAATCTCATTGTACTGTGCTGTATCAGCACAAATGAAAACATGGCACATGCTATAAAAGGATACAAATAAAGATACAAAAACTAGACGGTTTTATACACCTATCAACACCTCGATAATGATGATTTAATATAATTATATAAATAATATTTCGTTTTTATACTCTTGGCATATAAATGGAAATTTGGGAAAACACTGTTATTACATCAGCTGTTCCACTATGAAATCTTAATTTTTTTCTCCCTTTAAAATAAAATAAATCATTTATCAATCTTCTGTATCTGTGTACATCTATTGCATTCCAGTTGTATACATTCATTACCTCACACAGTATTTCTTTGTCAATAAATAAAATATTCTCCGTCTAATGTGAAAAAAAAAATCTACTCTCCTTTAGGGCAGAAATATAAAGTTCACTATTAAGGTATAAAAATATTTTCACACATACAGGTTACGATACTTGAAATTTATGATTCAAACCATTCATGAAAAAACAACTGGTAAAAAATCACAAATTGCTGTAAACATTTTAAACAAAGAGCTTGAATTTATTCTTCAAAGATACAATAAATAACAAAAAATATCATCAGTTAGGTAGTCATCACAATAGGGCAATTCCATGCAAAACAGGACATGGCACCTAAATTTTTAAAATAGTGGTATCCTACCAAATTTGGTATCAAATTAAAGATGAAATTCTGAACTTTCATGAAATGGTCTTAGTTTTCAAGTTTTTATACTCACTTAAATTTTATATAAGAAATACAATTAATATTATTTTTTCCAAAAAAATGAATAAAAAAGGCCAACTTTTAGAGTGTTTAATTTATGCTCTTTAACATATATTACCAACATAACTGATTGGATTAGTAATTATTAACATTATATGTGGTATATTCATGAATTTATTTTATTTTGTGTACTTCGTTCCGCTACAGCGACTTGACAATGAACTACCATATAAAATGTCCTGAAGTTACCAAAAAAGTAATTTTTTTTTTTATTTCTCAAAAAGTACTTAACAAAATAAAAGAAAATTTATTATTCAAATCATAAGCATATATGTGAACAACATAAACATGAATTGAAAAAAAAAAATTATTTCGTTTACAAATTATAGCAATTTAAAAAGTGTCCTGACGTTACTTTTTTGGTAACTTTGTGACGGTAACACTGTGACATCCTATTTAAATGCACAGGGGACAATTCCATGGTAACTTCGGGACACTTTGACACAAAATTTTAGACTTTATGTGCATACAATATATATAATTTATTTAACAAGCAATAAATCACAGTTACACATTGTACTTGCTACTGCTACCTACATTTCTATTGGAAAAAAACCTTAAATATCATATATTAAATATGAATTTTATTGTGTCCGATAACTTCGGAACATGAATTGGGATAGAGTTTTAACTTAGTTTTTTAAACATAAAAGTCTGTGAAAAAGGCATACACTTTTTTGATGCAGAATGCACTGAAGAGATATTTAGCTTTAATATGATATCCTTAATACAAATATATTGCAATGACTTATATTAATATAATAATCATTTTAAAAAATCATGTGACATGGACTAGCTATAATTAATCAGTAATTTATACCTAATTGTTTATTTTTGTATACGCACTTGTAGAGTTCAGAAACAGTGATACAGTAAAACCTCGAATTGAAGCCCTGGGCTTCTTTTTTTTTTTGCAAACTTTGGATTGGCTTCTTTTCGAGGCCACTTTTGCAAAGTAAAAAAGGGGGCTTCTTTTCAAAATATATGCTGTAAATTTTCGGAATTAGTGCTATAAAACAATAAATAGGGCCACTATAACATCAATCTGTATCATGGAGTGTATAAACAAGCGTGTTTTTAATTTATTTAGCTTCTTTGAAATTTATGTACAGTGTACGTACTGTACGAATACTATCATATACTGTACTAATACTATCATATACTAAAAGCAGCCTATGTTATCTTGAAAAGAAGCCCATGGGCTTCTTTTCAAGGCTAAATTTGCAAACTAAATAGGGGGGGGGCTTCAATTAGAGATGGACTTCTTCTTGATATTAAGCCCATTGGGCTTCAATTTGAGGTTTTATGGTATCTCATTGCAAGAAATTTTGAATTTTGTAGTTTTATATTATCGGTTTTTTTTAATGCATTCAAATTTTTTTTTTTCTAGTAATAATAGAATATTGTTGTTGACACTCTTCAATATACATAATCTATAATAATTATACAGTATAATTATTGTGTATATTATTATTATTATTAAAGTTAGCTACTGTGATATAATTTTTAATTTAAAAACATTCTTAAAAAGTGATACAAATGTAAAATATGACCAAATCGGGAATAAATTAATAAAAATATGAAAAATGTTTTAAAAAATGCTTTTATTACATTTGATAATACTGTAGTCAGCATTAAATCATGTTTGTTAGTACAAATTAGATAAGAATCCAACATTTGTTTATGTTTTAAGACCCTTTTAAAAGAAAATTTATTCATCATTATGATGTCAACCTTTTGTCCGGAAGTTACTGTCCTGAAGTTACCACATGATTTTTAAAAATGATCATCATAATTATATAAGTCATCATAATATATTTTTATTAAGGATATCCTATTAAAGCTTAATATCTCTTCAATGCATTCCATATCAAAAAAGTGCATAATATGCCTTAGTTTCACAGACTTTTATGTTTAAGTAAATAAGTTAAAACTCTATGTCCTATTTCATGTCCTGAAGTTACCGGAGATATTAAAATTAATATTTAATATATGCTTGTAGATATTTAAAGTTTTTTTCAATAGAAATGTAGGTAGCAGTAGCAAGTACAATGAGTAACTGTGATTTGTTGATTGTTGAATAAATTATATATATTGTATGCACATAAAGTCTAGAATTTTGTGTCAAAGTGTCCAGAAGTTACCGTGGAATTGCCCAATAAGTAAATTTATTAAAGTAACCTGACAGTGGGAGTTTAGTTATGGACAAAATAAAACTTATGATCATGTCAAATCCTGATAGAACCAATAAATGTAAAGTGATGTTTATTACCGAATGATCTTTGTGTGATAGCTGGACATAATTTTATATACAGTACTCTAGCACAGAAACTGCACGTTAATTGCCATTCCCCATTACACAATGGCCTAATGGCACGTTTACTGTATCTCTGCACTTTACATAACAGATTCATTGTTTGTCCAAGTGATATTGCATATAATGCAAGGCAATGCAATCTACATAATTAAACTAAAATGTAATACGAGAATGAAAATAGGCAATGTACGCTAACAATGGTAGGTGAATACAATAGAATATAATATGATGAATAAATGAAATGAAGATAATACAGGTATAAAATTATAATTAAAACATGAATTTCTAAAAGATAATAATTCAGTCGACTTCTAATTGTGCTGTGTGCTGTTCCATCCTCTAAACTCCCTCATTTTTGCTGATCCATCATATAAACTCCCTCCCTTAGCTGATCTATCAAATAAACTTTTCCATTTTCTTTCCACTTTATCCTTATATTTTTTTTTTTAATTGTTGAATATGTAATTCCATCCAATTTTCAAACAGGTCTATAGTTCGAAATCCTCTGCAAGCATTGTTAATCTGTGATTATAATGTTTCAATCAATCAACAGTGATTTATAAGGCGCTAATATTCATGGTTAAATGTAGCGCTCAGTGGCATGGTGCGATAACATTGGCATTTCTCAGAATATGCATATTTGGCCTAAATGAATCAAATTATTTAATTATGCTTTAATAATATTTTAAAATATTCATTATTTTGTTAATTTTATTCCATAGACTAAGCGTGAGAATGTTATTATGACAGCTAAGTGGTACTACCGGCTAGTGGAAGTACCAGAAACGGTTTATCAACTGCTGGTACAAGATCGCCACTCAGAAAACAGTAAGACAACATTAATATTCCTCCATGATTATTTGACTCTATACAGTGAATGTGTCTTTGTCATTATCATCATCGTCAATAATTTTATGATTATGATTAATAAATGATTTTAATTTTTTTTTTCCAGATTCAGGAAGTGATCTGATTATTACCAATCCTGTTGTAAAAAACCGAGAGCTGTTTATTTCTGACACTCCAGAAACATACACTGTCTGCTTGTTAAGGTAATGTACACTTTCAAAAGAAACCATTCCTATTTCAGATATTCCTATGCTAAAAAATGGAATGTCCATATACAGTATGTATAACAACTATATGATCTTGGTTGTACCATCTTTAAATTAGAAGAAAGCAATATTACTGTGAAGCACCAAAAAATACTGATATGACATCTTATCATGGACATTTTTGAAGTATACTGTAACTATTTATTAATAATATTGTAGTTGGTGAATAAATATTAATATGATATCCCTATTCTATAACATTGAATGTCCCTATGTGTTACTGAATCATTAAAATCTTGATTATACCATTTTTATCTAGGGGAAAATGTTCTGTGACGCACTATAATGATATTCACAGTGCCAAGGATTTTGAAGCGGATCTTAATTGTTTCTTTTATATTCTTGGATATAATCCAGAAACAAGGTAAGTAGAAGAATTTTGATAATCAATAGTTTTACACTCTATTGCGATTTTTAGTTTAATCTGAATAGCCTGCAGTATGATTACCAATGTATTGCTCAGGTTATCTTTTGGATCAGGTTAACTAAAGAGTTTTCTTCAGTTTAGATTCTTTTAACATTTAAATCTCCAAATGACATGAAATTTACAACAAAAAAAAACCTATTAAAAATTTAAAACATAACCCAAGCAAAGGAGACCCTAGACAGGAGAGTAGTGCCTGGACCCTGTAGTTTCCAAGTGTGTATTCGTATAATTGGTACCATAATAATCAATCAGTCAATCTTATTTTGATGGTTCGTTTTATAACTGTACCAGTACTTTGAAAATCAGTACACGAGTACTGAAAGTGCCTGCAGAATAAATTTAAAAAAAATAATAATAAATCCAATATTTATATTTGCATGCACATGTTGATTTGAAGTGGAAATCATATGAAGAGAAAATTGAAGGAATTACCTGCTGTGAATCTGCCAGTAGGCAGAAAACAGATTATGATGAACATGATAATGATGTCCATTTGAAGGGAGATGCTTGACCATCGTAATCGTCTTTAAATTTATTAAAAGCCAGTAATCTTATTGAAGAAGAAACATGCAAGAAGGACAAACAATAATTATTTTACTGACCATTATAGGTCTTTAAAAGTATTATTAATATTAAGAAAATATTTAGTTTTGTTTCTTGTTTCATATTTAAGACGTCTTGCGAGCACTCAGGGAGAAATCAAAATCGGTTCAGGTCATCAAGCCGTCCTACCACAACTTCGACCAAAGCCAAAACCCAATGGGCAGACTCTCACGGACAAAGAGGAGCTCACATGGAAAACACGAATAGAAGACGTCAATCTTCTCATGTACCTGCGCGCAGCTAGAAGTATGGCTGCGTTCGTGGGCATGTGTGACGGTGGGTCTCCAGAGGATGGGTGCGATGCTGCCTCCAAGGATGTAACTACTATCAATGCTCTAAAAATTGTAAGAAATTTTAAATTTTAATTGTATGGTCTAAGTGGATGTTATGTTTTATGCTTCATATATATGTATATATTGAACTTCAAAAACTGCAATTCCAAAATATCATTTTACTCTCTGGTAAGTTTCTCATCAAAACATATCTGACCATATCTTTTTATATCTGGCTAAAATGCTTCATATAAATAGAGGTAATGCTACTAATATAGAAAAATGACATTTTAGAATATTGAGTACCATTGTGCAAGGCGTTTATTTAAAGAAAGCTTTGGGGATTTTATTGTATTTGCCATGTCTTGATGATGCCGTTCTTGTTGCCATTAGAGATGCTGTGCGTGTTCAAAATTCTCAAAAATTGACAACAAAATAAACTGAAATATTTAAATATGTATTTATATTTAATATTATACATTTTTATTTTTGGTATTTTGGAAAAAATGCTCCTTTACTGCCTAAAACTAAATTTACTCTGCAATCAGATAAAATAAACTTATTGTCTGCTTTGTTGACTGTCTTTATCACAACAATATGTGTTTATTTCCTCCACAGCTTCATCACTATGACTACCAAACTAGCAAAGCACTACAAGCGTTGATCAAAGACCCGGTTCAAAAGTCGGTAGATAAAAAGTGGAATGAGGAGGATACTGTAAGTGTTATTAATTTCTGTCACTCAAACATTATAAAATATTACTTAGCAATAATTTCTAATTTCAAATCTTACCTTCATGGTCATTTCTTCATTGGATTATTCCCACGACCCAAACTACGAGTGGAGTTGAATAGCTTGGTGGTTAAGATGGTTGCTTTCCAATACCTTGGTCCTGGGATCAATTCCTGTCACGATAACAGGATTTTTTCTCACGACCAACACAACTCCACCCCCAAGCCTCATAGTGAGACGTGTGTGTATGTTTGCCTCTGAAGGATTTGCCACTTTCGAAGAGTGATTAAGTTCACAGTTTGGCATATCCTTAGCCCTAGTGACTAAAGCTGAATAAATAAATAACTACTGCATATTTTTTATAGTTATTAATTTTTAAATTATAATGTCTTTAGAAATTGTCTGTTATATAATTAATTTTAAATTTTATATAATTCATTGTTATACTGTCTCTAATTTCTAACTGTGAGTTTATGTCCTTTTTAGGGTGTATTCTTGATAGTAATTAAGTTTACTTTAAGGTTAATCCTATGCTTGCATTCTTTTTATTTTTTGCAAGTTGCCTGGAAATATAAATGAAATGGAATAAAATAACATACCAATAATAATTTCTGTATACTACTCAGTTGTACTATGTATCATAAAATATTAAAGGAATACATTTTTTTTTAAAGAATCGAGTCAAATTACAGTGACAGAAAATTATTCTGGTACCTCCTAGGTCAATGTGTCATATAATTTGTAGCACAGTTGGTAGAATTCCCATGAGGGTCATCAGTACTTTGTATGCTACTAGTGAGTATCCTATCAAACAGCCTAAAAATTCAGACCCATTTTAAAATAATGTATAGGTGTTTATTTGATCATTATTCTTTAACAAATTTTAAAAACCTGGAATGTGTTTGGTTGATCATGCTCCTGAAAATTAGATAATAATAATAATAATAATAATAATAATAATAGTTTGATTTATGTGCTCTACATGAGAGTCTCAAAGCGCTTGAAGTGTGGACTAGCTCGTACAGTAACCCTCTTCTCCCCTCTCTTCATGTCTACCAGTTACTCTCGTCTGTCCACAACAAGGGTTGTATAGACCAGTACACCAGGGTAACCCCCTACACATCTCGAAAGATGTACTGGGTTCTTTAAAGCTCACATGTGCAAATTGTGTACACTGGACCTACGGTTTATTGTCCTTATCCGAGAATGTTTATTCCACCTTAAGAACCATAGGCAAGCATGGCGCTGAACCAGTTGCCGATAATATGGCTGTAGGTTGCGGCACCCCTGCCTCAACTGTTCGTCCATTCGGCTCGCCAAATGGCGAGTCAAATCGTATTGACTTAGTCTCTCGTATGGCTTCAGTCTCTTTCCTGGTAGTTTGTTTAGATGTTGTTTGTTCTATAATATGTTATTATGTTGAAATGTGACTTACATGTATAGTCTGGTATTAAAATGAGTCACTTTTTCATAATATAAACAATGTTAACAATTTTGTGTATGATCACACGTAGCTCAATTTCAAGAGTTTCTGATAGTGCTACAGTACACATTAATGTAGTGATAATAGCTATTTTAATTATGCACTTAAGACTCATTTGTGTGTGGGATTAAATAGGTAATGGGTCACTTATTATAAGAGTAACAATTGATACCCTGATAACAGGCACATAAATAACAGACTCATTAATGATTATGAGTAATATGTAAATGAGTCACTCCTGCGATAGCATTGCTATTATGATATTGATGCACTTCAGACCTTTGTGAGTATATTGTTACTTATTGCCAGTTGTAGCAATGTACACTGCGAACGCAAATGCTGATGAAATTGGGACGGTCCCGTCAAAAGCGGGACAATTATATTATATTCGTTTTTACATATAATTGAGTAGGTATAAAGTGAGTCACATATTGGCCATCGTAGCATACAGGATGCCAGTACATTAAAACACTTATTCAGACTCGATTGTATGAATTAATGTGTACTCAAATGAGTCAGTAGTAGCATTCCTCTAATGATAGAACATGCAGAAGTACATGACTTACATATCTATGTATAATTGAGTAGGAAACAGATCACTTATAGTCGGTGTTAACATTGCTATAAATACTGTAGTCAATGTTCACTACGTAACTGATCGTGTAGATAATATTCTTTTCTATTTGACTAAGTTTGCTGTGAATTCACCTCAAAATGACCTCACCTCAAACATGCTATATTTTACAGTAACTTTACACTTTTAAATGTAATTTACCATACAATTGCTTTGGCAGTCTCATTTCTGGCTCTTAAAAATGTAAAATAATCAATATCATAATAATAATAATAATGATGGTATTGATGACTATAATAATGATATGCTTTTTCCAAAATAAAATGTTTTTGTTACATGAGGATGTAATATATGGGCAAATCACTATGACCATAGAGTAATTTCCAAATTCATTCAAATTTGAATAAACATTTATTTTCTTCCTTGTATAAATGGTGTGTAAAAATGGTAAAATGTAGAGTGTAGACAAAACAATGGTTACTGTGTATTGTATCAATTATGGTAACTTCCATGTAATTAGGGATAAAATATCCAAGTAGACTTTATTAATTTTAAGATAGTAGTAGTATACACCAATCCCAATGGGGAACTACATTTTTCTCAAATATTTATTATCTTTAATCAACACCAGTGAAGGTGTATCTCCATACCAAAGTTACGTTCATGTGAAGATATTTAGTGTATCTTAGATTCAATGTTAGTGATATAATAATTATTTTTTATATTTTATTTTAAATCCTAATGATATTAATTAATGTATATTAATAAATATTTATAATAGTTGCTAGGTCTACAATTTAATTGGCTTTACTCAATATAATATTTTAAAGTTTACATGTTTTTACCTTTTAATATCAGGTTGTTTTTTTTTGACATTTTGATTTTCAAAATTCAATATTTTATTGTTATTGTTTCTCTTGGTATTCCAGAAATTGTTTGTGAAGGGACTTCGTCAGTTTGGGAAGAACTTCTTCAGAATCAGAAAAGAACTGATACCCAGCAAACAAACAGTAAGTCTGTCGTTAAACGGAAGGAAAAAGATATGTCAAAACTAATTAAAAAATCATCTTCTACCACAAATTACGCAAACTTGAGGATCTCCTGAGGATTATGTACAACTTCCTTGGAGTTATTTTTAGTGGCTTAGGTGGTACTGTATGGACAGATAAGGGAAGGATGATCGTGCCAAGAGTAACTGTCTATTTAGACACTGAGGGAATTGATAAATTAGCCTCCCCCTTCTCTCATTGAATATTGAAACATAATTATTATAGATAATGAAGACAGATTTTTGATTATATGGAAAAATAACTTTTCCTATTTAAAAACGAAAGTGTTTTTTCGCTTAGGGAGTTTAAATTAGTTTGATATAAATTGTAGCTGATTGAATATTGTTTTTTTTTTTCAAAATAAAAAGTGGTTTTATTTACAAGTGGCTGATATGAGGTGCATCTTAAAGACTTCATTTAGATTTTTTTTTATATCCCCAGCATTCTCAAGATGAAACTTAAGTGAAGGAAAAGTAAAAGATTATCAAATTATTAGGTCGCTATCCCATTTTGTATTTTTATGCGATAAATGCGGTAGGATGACTCCGGTTGTTTCATTCTGCTATTGAACGTTCCTATGCTTTGACGCAAGTTAACAATACTTGTAAATTCCACCGTTCTTTTTCGGTTAACAGAGTGAACTTGTTGAGTTTTACTACTACTGGAAGAAAACGCCAGAGGCCGCTAATCAACGGATTTACAGACGAGGTCGCCGACAGAGTGTGCTACGGAGGATGAAAGTAATGACGCGTACAATCAGGCAACCAAGCAGCGAATACAGTAAGTTTTATTGATTTATAACATGCATACATCCATAGACACGCTTTGTTTATGTTGTCTAAAGCCGGGCACTCACGGCGGTCGTACGACGAATCCAACTTCGCTCCCTGTGAGCGCTAAACGATGTAACGCCATCTGCTGATTGCCAGTCGCAGTCTGAACGGATCAACATTGAAAACGATCTGTGCGACGTGGCTTTGCATTCTTCATAGATTCGCATCGGCCGGCAACTGTGAGGCGCAGTGAATGCCCGGCTTAATATTTACTTGTTTGTACATTGCCTACTCTATGCCATAAGCTACGTCCACACTACCAGTGTTTATCCAACAAATAATTGTTTCTCGTATAGTAGGTAGTTTTCACCGCACGACGTAAACCTTAACTTTAACGTTAGTATCCAAAAGGCAGCGCGGTAGCTCCACCTCTTTTGTAAACAAATCGAAATACGCATGCGCAAACCCATAACTAACGTACGTTGAGCACTTAAAATCCTGAAATTAACGTATTCTGCAAGATGAATAAATTATGACATCAGCGAAAACTGCCTATTGGCATGAGGATGTCATATCACACCCATATGAACGTGATGTGTGTACAGAGTACATACTCTATCATATGTTTGTATAACAATATGCCACTTATGTTCGACAGTGACCCGCTTACCCCTCCCTAACTGAACTATGCATCCAGTGGTAAGGACGTTACTCTACTAAAGACCTGGTGACCGCAAATGCCATCCTTGGCAAAACTATGCATTCGAGGATAGGGAACACTGCTCCACAAGGACCTAGTGACCCAATACTCACCCTAATCGAACTATATGCATGCTGGGAGTAGTGGTTCTGTGCATCCTTCAGGTAGAGGTGCTCAGCATTTAATAATTAACGTTATTTTACAGTTGATTTGAGTTCAGCAAGTGAAGATGAATTGGATTCTGATGATGGAGAATTTTATGGCTACGCTTGCCGACATTGCTTTGCAACTAGTAAGTAAGCATTGATACCTTTTTCCAAATCAATTATAATTTGCAGGTTAGACTCTGATATTTTCACGGTGAATTATCACACCATTGTGACCCATTAAATGTAGCGAAGGCAAGCCAAACCAGTCACTCCTCGCGTGTGTTAGAAATAATGACCAAAACATGTTGGAATGTCATTTATGAAATACATTTTATTGCACCTCATTTTCGAGGTTAACGCAGCATTTTTAATGATTTAGTGTTAGTGCTTGATGGCCAGAATCTAATTTTTTAGATTTATATATTGTTCACTCTGTCGGTATATCCAACCTTGTGGTTATGATGATATTAAAATTATCGTACTTTATGTTATCTTTTCTTATCTTTAGGTTCAAAAGATTGGCATCATGGTGGAAGAGATAAACTTCTCCTCTGCTATGATTGTCGGCTCTACTTCAGGAAATATGATCAGTTACCGACAATTAAAACCCCGCGTGAAGCGCCGCCATTCATGTTTAAACCAGTCAAGGATGATGAGGCTACGGAGTCGAGGATCAAATTACGCTCTCGTAGACATGGTGAATTGGTGAGTTATTACGATGTTTGCTAATGACGCTCATCAACTGTAAAGGTGTAATCCCTGATAAACATCTTTTTTCCAGCATCATAATTGTCAACAAATTTATTTAATGTTTTTACCACAAATTCCTGTCTTTTGACATTTTTATAAAGATGTTTCCGGAGAAAATGCATGGCACCTTCTACCATAGGTCACACTTTGCACTATGATCACTCCTGTTTATCATTAACATCATCATCATCATTGTTATCGTCATCATCGTCACCATCATCATCATCACTATCACCATTAAAATCATTCGTCATCATCATCATCATCAATTAGGTAAGATCCATTTGGCAACATTATTTTTTCGTGGTTTACAGAAAGGCTCAACATTACGAAGTGGACGAAATAAACATTCTGATAACTCAAGCCCAGTAGCTGGCATATCCAGGAAAAAGACTTACAACCGCAACTCCCCAAGCACACTCAGTACATCTAGTGAGAGTAGCACAAAATCAACAAATAAGAAACGCAAGGTAAACTGTACTAACTGTAAACTGACATTAATATTTGGTATAGTTTGGCCTCAGGCCAAATTATCTTGTCATGATTTAAAAGTCAACACCCACAGAAAGTTTTGCCAAATGCTGTTATCTTTATGAAATTGTGTTCCAAGAGTGTCAATCAAAATAACAACTGACCAATCAGAACAGGGCCAGGACAATGCGCTTGTCTAACTAACATATGTTTTGACTTACGTTTACACTACTGTTTTGTGGGGTCTTTGGGGAGACTTGTTTTATTCCTTGTTTCGCGTACTTATTTATTTAAATATGACCGGAGGAGGGCGGAATAAAAATTTAAATAAAATATTTGTTTTCTAAGTTAGCAAATAGTTTTGCTAAAAAGCATCCAGACAGAGGAGAAAATAAATATAACATTTTATTGTGAATGTAAAATAGGATGGTTAAATGCTTTATATTTATATAATTAGGAAGAAATATACATATCTTATCCTTGGAGATTTCAAGGCAGTGGAGGGCGTAATAAAAATAAAGAAAAAACTTCTTTTTTTTCTGAAATTTCCACTTTTTAAAATTTCATTTTTATTCGAAATTATCAATATTAACAGTGGGCGGGTTCGCGAAACAAGTTATAAAAAAGTAGCGCGTTAGTAACAATGTTAAAATGTTGCGTTTAGGCACAACTGTCCATGAGGGAGCAAGTCGCCCAATAGAGATTGCATGTACTGTATTAATATTATTTATTATTATTGCTTATAGTTTTTTTTTGGCTTTTTTATATTTATTGGTTTTATTTAAAAATTGATGTAAATGTGATTTGCATCTTTAGGTTGAGGATGATGGTTATGAGAGTCCACTGGTGGTGAAGCTAGAGCCAGAGGATGAGAGTGTTAATAGTACAAGTACATCAGTCGGCCATAACGACCGTGAGAATGAAGAGGAAACCCCAATGGAGGTAAAATTATTAAAATAGGCAATGCAACATGTTTGATGTTGTCAGTGGTGCTTGGCCACTAATGCCAGCGTTGTTGGTTCAATTTCTTGTTGGTTCAATTTTTTTTTGTTTTTCCTTCGCTAGTGGTTGAAATCCACCAATTGCCTCTTATATCAGCCGGCATTGAGGATCACTCATCTATAACTAAAGGATTGTCCAGACTATCACATGCCTAAATATGGTCATGATGACATCACATCATGTCTGTATATGGGCATACAACAGTTTTTTTGTCAAAAAGACCTAGATAATCGAAGTATTACACTCAGCATCTGAAATCTCTGAAACGTCATACCATCCCTCCTTAATAAATTAAAAATTACTGAATAACCTGTCAATTGCTCTTCTAGGCTTAGTGTAGCTTTTTGTCACTATCACTCTGGCCTACCTGCACAGCTGAAAACACCTGCTTGATAGGCTTGCTTTCAAGCATTTACCTCATATATAATTTGAATACAATGCTAGAAAATTTTAAATGAAATGATAAAATATATATCCAAACCTTTTTATACATTTGTTTTCTAGGTACAAGATGTAGAACCAGCAACTGAGCAAGCATCAGATGTAGGTGCAGTGGAGGTGTCTGAAGAGTCTACCCCACAAGATGGAAACAGTGAGGGCAGCACATCAGCCTCAAGATCAAGTAGTCCCGGAGATATAGACAATGACACTGAAAATGGAGAGACCGAAAATGAAAACGTTGAAAATGATGAAAACATTGAAAGTGTTGAAAATGTTGAAAGTGTTGAAAAAATTGATAATGTTGAAAAAATTGAGAACGTTAAAGACACTGAAACTGCTGAAAACATTGAAAATCTTGAAACTGTAGAAAATGTTGAAAGCATTGAAAAAGTTAAAAATGTGGAAAATATGGAAAAAGAAATTGATAATGGGTCAAAAACAAAAGAGACCGTTGATGAAAGTAAAACAACGGAAATTTCAATTGTAAAAAAAGAAGATCATGTTGGAGTTGATATGAACAGAGAATTAAATGATGAAAAACTAGATAATACATTAGAAGAACAATTAACATCAAAAAGAACAGAACAAAGGACAGAAGTAGATAATATTAAAGAAATTGAAATGGTTGAACCTAGTGCAATAAAACATAGGATGCCTTCAATACAAAACTGCCCTCAACCTTCGTCGGTTATTGTTAAACAGGAGCCAAGAGATAACTACGAAGTGCCCTCTGCATCTTACAGCTATGCAAACACTCCTATGCATATAAACAGCTCAGTGATTAAAACAGAGGAACGTTTTTTCGGTGAAGTAACACAATTACGTGAGTCTTTCGTACATAGTGTGAAAACGGAAGGGACTATCATACCACCAGTTGAAATACCACATACGGTGATTCAGGAATCCAAATCCAATTCAGCGGACGTACAACGTGAAAATTCTGACACGCCAGCACACTCCAAGGAGGATATTAAGAAGGAAATTATTGAGGACCTCTGCAAGGATGATGAAGAGGAGGATGATGACATCAAAGAGGAAAGTGATGGTCCACGTTGCCCTTCTCCTAGTCCGGTCATCGGGGACAAAATTGTCATCACATCTCGTAATGCAGGGTTAGTAAACAGCCACTGATTGAAGTACTAGTTTAATAGTTTATGATACTTGCCTTCCAATCCTGGTCTGGAGTCCAATGCTCTAAAATATTTCATAAACCAGAATTTTGAATGTAAGAAATATGAAATATATGTATGTGTATATATAAAAATGATGAGTATAAATATACTTTAATAAGCTGAAAACAATATCTTGAGTTGAAATCAAGTGATTTAGGCTTCGTTCACTTAAGAGCAGTTAAGACTTGTTAATACAACACCTACGCTATTTATTTATTTATTATTTATCTATTTATTTATTTGTTTGTTTGTTTCTTTGTTTGTTTGTTTTTTATTTATTCCTATTAACCAACAGTGATAACAACCACCACTAACAGGTTAGAATACATCTATACTAGTCACCACAGCCAATTTTAAGTATGAACCACCTTAAAATCAAAGATTTAACAAACATTTTTCAGTTTTATTGTCATTTACCAGTTTGTTAATTCATTTTCTTGTGAACGTGTGATAGATTTATTCGACACTGGATCCGTGGTCGTACAACCTGCAGTCGCACAGATCTTGTCTTCTCACCCCCGCCGGAAATGTTGAGAAAAAGGAAGGAGGCCGCACTAAAAAGGAAGGCTGAGAGTGAACAAAAGGAGAATGAAGATCAGAAGAAGGAAAAGGATAAAGAAAAAGAAAAGGAAAAAGAAAAACAAGCAGTAAGTATTCAACATTAATATTTTTTTTAATATTTATATTCCATAATTGTCCACACAGAGTTCCTGGCTATTAGGTTGAAAAGCAATTATGTACATTATTGAAGCCTCACCTTTCTTAAGCAAAGGTTAAGCAAAGGTAAAGTAAAGGTATAAAACCAGTCACTGGAAGAATCAATATGCTGAATTTCCTACTTTTGTAGCAACTTTGTATTCACACATTGCAAATAATCAGAACTCTGGCTTGAGCATTCCACAGTGACTACTGAATTGGACCGGAACAACAGAGTAAATGCTACTCTTCGGATGCAAATGATTTGCACCCTGGGCCTTTGGATTTTAGTTTTTTTTACCGAAGAAGACATGGCCCTACTGACTGAACCCAGGGTTAGGAGTATAACAAACCAGCACTGATGTTAAGTCTGTCCGCTTGACCACTTGACTTACTTGCATTAAATAAATGTACTCAAATTCTGATTATGAATCTGCCCAATTGACTAATCCATCCTACCACAAACGCATTAAAGTCAATAATCAAGATAAGAAATATTGATAAAGGCCCTTGTCTGAACATATGGGGCATGCCATGCCAAAACCAGCATAAGTGACAAAAACATGAAATTACTAGAATTGATTTACTATTTTCAAAGTTATTAGTATTAAAGTACACTATACAATTTTTATTTTTTATTTAATTATTGACACTACACTGACTTTGCGATGGCAAGCCTCAATTAATGGATCAGCCTCAGTCTCTTGGTTTTATGTTTATAAGCCCATGCCTATTTCTATTCAGAAGAAGCCAGAAAAATAAATGGTAAAATTATACCAGCAAGCTATTTGTACTAAGTTGCTGTCAATATTTTAACTTTCAGAAAAGGCCAAGTACTCCACCAGCCAATGTTACAGCAGATGCACAAATTACAAGTTCTTACGGGCTTCAGCGGGCACCACCACCACCACCAGCACATGGTTATGTATCACAGCACTGCCCTCCACACTTGCAGTACCAACCACATGACATGCCTGCCTTGCATACGCTCCGGGAATATGCACGACCTCATGTTGGCCTACCTCCTGGACATCCCTTACTACGGGACTTCAGAAACCTTGTTGGTCCAGACCCGATTATGCGTATGCAAATGCAGTCTATGTACCTTGGTGCAAATCGTGAGGCACAAATTGATCTTGTAGAACGGGAGTTACGTGAACGCGATATGAGGGAGCGCGATTTCCGTGAAAGAGAGATACGCGAGCTTCAGGAGAGAGAGATTCGCCGACATGAATTAGAACTACGAGAGCGTCGCGAAAGAGAATTCCGTGAAATGAAACCTGGATTTGAAGGCTTCTACGGAAATGCTGCACCAATTTTAGCTTATGCAGCCAGTCGTCCAGGTGAACCGGTGGTGCCTGCTCATCACATACCCGGAGTTCCCCCATACCTTCACATGGCACACCCTCACGAGGGACATCCACCAGGGCGCCCCGGGATGCCTCCAGGCGAAATCGTTTACCCTGGTCAGATGGAGAGATTAACAGCTGAGCGATTACACGGAGAGCAATTGGCAGTGATTGGTGACCAGTTGATCGCTGTCAGTCGCCCAGGCTCTGCACCTCACCATCACAACCATTCGCACTCACACACACATCTACATTTACATCCAGGAGAGCATATGCTTCTTCATGGCAACGAGCCACCAGGTATTCCACCGGGCCCATTGAGTTATAATCCACTGCCACCACCCCCAGCTGCAGCAAGTCATCCTCCGCCGCATTTGATCACCACAGGGCACCGAATTGCTGCTCACCCACACGCCAGGGGTGAAATGCTAGCCCTCCACGAGGAACATCAACGGCAGATGCTGGAAAGGCATCGCTTTCCAAGACATTAAAGCTAACCTTTGATAATTTCAGAATGTACAAAATAAAATATCCATACAGAATTTGTTTACGAAGCAATAAATGATAGGACTGAATATTTGTTATACTTAAAAGTATAACATCCTTTAAAATGAACTATTTAAGATTGGGCAAATATAGGGAAAATGTTTGAGACTGCAGCTTGGCATCAAAGCGATGGATACTTGAATACCAAGATGTCTACTTTGCTAAAATTACAGATAGTAGTAAGAATGACATGTACAGTACATCCCACTTACTTGACTCCAGCAGTGGAATGTGGCATCATAGTAACCAGAATGGACAGTGAAAATACAGTAAATACTCTTTGTATCACTATTGGATATTATTAGGAAAGGAAACATTTGGTTTATTTGGGAAGGGTAAAGCACAATAATAGTCTTATACTATTGTGAAACTATAGACTCAATCGTTTTGTTCCATTAATTATTTTTACATAAATTTGGTGCTTGAAATTGTAATCATTGAGTCTGAACAGACGGATTGATTAATCACATTCAGATGTTAAAAGGGAAAACATATCTGATTGTTATTTCCAGAAAAAGTGATCTAATTGGTTAACTTTATTGTAGTAATTTTTTTTTTTTTTAACCAAATGTTTTATTGCTGTATAAAGCAACCAGGGTATCTATGAGGTAATGCTGGTTCAGGGCCTTTACATTTGTTTTTGTGCCCTGCAATATGATGAATTTCTCATAGTTTATTTGTTTGTTTTTTTTTAATTCCTGGTCCTGGTAGTTTATGTTAATGTAAATAAATAGTTTGTAATTTAGTGAGATATGTTTTTCTATCCAGTTACAAAGAAAGGAGTCTCGGGAAGAAATAGCAAATATACATACATACATTTATTATCTGTCCGTTAGTGGACAATGGTGTACAGTACTTCTCATGATATTAGATTGTATTTCTAATGCATAATATATCATGTCTTAGAATGATGTATTATGTGTGAAGCTTCAGATTCATTAATCATGTATTGTTATCGTTTTTGGCACTAATGCTAGTGGCGCCTCCAGATATTTGCCTATGAGGAGTCCGACCTATACTACAGTGGGGTCCAAACCAACCCTGATCAGGGTCTCAGAATAAGAATTCCTGGTAGGGTTCATGGTGAGAGTTTTTATGGCTTAGTTCATGGCCCAAATTTGTACTTTTAGACCACAATATTAGGGATTGGCAATCGATATAACATTCTGGATAGGTAAATTAACATTTTGGATCCGACGACCTTGTCATAGCTTCGGACAATGGTGACCCAGGCCTGTCTGATGGGGTAATTAATAAATTACAAGATGGGGTAATTAATAAATTACATCAACAGACTGTCGATATATCTGTCTCTTTCTGACAAAAGGAAGCAAGTATTTCTTTAAATGAAACTTAAACTTTCTGATCAAAATATTAGATTTCCATATGTTCCAGTTGACAAGATACATATCATTAAACTACATAGTGTTGAAATTGTCTAACTTCTTTTTTTTTTAAAAGAAATCATAAGTTATAGGTGCACTAATGTATTTTATTTTCTGACAAAAAACCTACATGGTGTTTACTTCATTTTGTCAGAAATTGCATAATAATAAGCATAATTTTGATGATGAATACGATGTCAGCTCCCTAAATTGGTTAAACAAAGTGATGATGAATAACTAATTTAGCCCCACACCCACTAGTGGTTTTTTCAGCATATGAATTAAAATAAACTCGGCATAAACTTGTAGGACGATTCAGGAAGCTCAGGGAAAACTTGTACCTACTCGTAGCAGGTCTGAACTTGTGGCTCTAATTTTGAACATCTTCATCGGGAACTCGTAGAGTACTCCTACCTAACTTGTACACTACTCCGGATACTCCATGGCAGTTTTGTAATCCACGAATTTGATGCGAGCACCCCGAAACGAGTACAAATTAAATACGGGCACACCAAGTTGGTTACAATCACCAGGAACATTTGATCGGAATGCTCGTACCTAACTCATATCTAATTCGGTACAACCTCGTTATGCTGGTAGTAATCTCGTAAAGCTCGTAGTAAACTCGGTGCTTCGCTTGGCATAATTCATACTTAACTCATAACCAACTCCGTAAGATCGTAACTCACTCATAGCTAACATGTAGTAAGCTCGAATAGAGGTCCTTTCCCAAGCGAATTAAATCACAAGTTTTTAAATCAGAGAACCTGTGCGACTCATGGATGAAATCAACCTAGAGGGGTAGAGGGGCTTAGACCACTGTGATTGTGAATCTGCTTCAATAGACTGGTATATTTATCCCAGCCAATATTGTGGTTTTATTCACTTGTTAGGTATTAATGATGAAGAGCTATGTGAATGTTCTGCAACCATACCCCAGCATGTAATGCACAGTATATGATCTGTAGTTTAATTATATAAAATTGAACACTTGTTTATTATTAAAAATCATGTGCTTGCAGCACAAATATATTTGTTATACTGTTATAGTATCTGCCTAAATTTGCAGTTAATGTTTCAATATGCCATCATCGAAAATGCATATTAAATACAGTCTTGATTTGCATAAAAGTATTTCCAGGTATAATTTCGATTTGTTCATTATTTAATAACAATACCGGCTATTTTATAACTGGTGCCTATTGATGTTTTCCAATTATCTTTTACCCTAATACATTACAGTATGATTAGGGATGAATCTGATCTCATTTCTGTCATGCATATTCATTAAAGTTATTAATTTTAAAGAATTGTGGTTTCAAACTTTTATGCTGTACTTTTTTCATATTGGATGTCTGTCAGATCAAATACAAAATTGGAAAGTCTGTAATTATTTTGTCGGGAATGGAGTAGAAGTAAGTGTTAGATAACAAATAAATGATTAAAAACAAGGTTTTGAATCTGAAAATAATAAAAAAAAATTATGTTGAATGAAAAAAGACAGAGTATCTGTGTTTTATGCGTGGGTTTTGGAAAAAAAAAAAGACATGAAAAAAAGTGTAAATTCTGCCTTAAGGGAGTTCCTTAATGGGAATTTCTGCTTTTAACTAATGAGGAAAATATTGCACGGCAAACAAGGACCTTTGGTGGTCACCCTCCGTAACCCCTCACAAACCCTCACCTTCCTATGGCGCAGATTCTTTGGCGCTTTGCATCATTCAATTATAATAGACCCCTTATATTTATGATGTATATACCAGCTATCTTGGCAACCCATCCTCAATTCAAATTCAAAATTCAAGGTTTTTTATACCTTGATTTGCGAACATTCTTATATTTTTAAAGATCGTCAGAGAAGGGCAGAAAAAATTTAGAATAAAAATTTTTTTTTTTTTTGTTATTTAGCAAATAAGTTTTACCAAAAACATTCAGATGGAGGAGAAAATAAAAATACATTTTTTTTTGGTAAGTGTGAACAGTGTATTAATAATGGGATGGTTAAATGTTTTGAATTTATATAATTAAGAAGAAATATAGGCCTGCATATCTTATTTTTAGAGATTAAGGCAGCTGCGGGCGTAAGTAATAAAAATAAAGGAAAAACACTTATTTTCTCTAAAATGTTCATTTTTTCATGGCGGCAAGTGTGCTAATTGGCGAAAAATTGAATTTTTGACGGGTGGGGGGGGGGCGGGTTTGCTAAACAAAGTAAAATATAAAGCCACATCTTGACAGTTTTGATTACAAATGCTAAATTGACTAGTCAGTCTGAGTCACTTTTTATGGATTGGTTTGGCCTAGTACCATCTCTATCTATTTAATTCTAAAATAATTATAAATCAAAAAATCTTTTAAAATGTGTTAGTATAAACATACTGTAAGTGAGCTTGCAAAATCTGCATAAATAGGCTGGATTTCTAAAGGGTGTTCTAATTTTTCACAAAAGGCACTTTAATATTTTTGACACAACATTATATCAATTTTACATTATTTTATGGGGAAAAAATGGAAAGCTATCTCACAAACCAGACACTCATGTCGCTCGATGCATGGTCTCAGCTATTAAGTTAAAGTATGCATAAAATCCTGTATATATTTATCATCATTTAATCATCACCACCACCATCGTCACCACATTTGAACCACAGTTAACTTGGAACGACCATATAAAACAATGTTTCATCCAATGTTTTAAAGCGTATTGGTGTCATCCGACATACTAAATTTTTTCTTCCTTCTTATACGCTTAAAATGTTAGCAAATGCTTTAATTTTTCCTCTTTTCGATTATTGTTGTGTTTGGTCTAATTGTAATGTTCAAAATTCTAACTGTTTACAAGTTCTTATGAATAGATAAGGTAGGATTTTACTTTCTGTTGATATTAAGACTCCTGTTGATTATTTTTTAAGTGCCCTTAGATGGAATAGACTAATTTATTTATTTATTCATTTATTTATTCTTCATTTAGACTGTGCACATTCAGTACTCGAGTACTGTTTTTCAAAGTGGTACAGTTACAAACAAACCATGAAATAGTCTTTAAAATTTACCTTTAACAATACTGCCCATTCTAAAGGCACACGTAGCCAAACCCATAACAACCTGGTTCTTGCAATGTATAATATCGGTCAGGGAAAAAGAACTTTTTTTATATCCATCATCCAAAAGCTGGAATGAACTACCATCACAAATTAAAAATTGATTTTCAAGAGACGTTGACTTTTTCATTACAAAATCATTTCGAATAATATTTTCAAATTTTATTTTATTTTATTCTTTGTTTTATTACCACTGTATATATGTTTCTCGTCACTGTAATAATAATAAAAATAATAATAAAATATTTATAATGTGCTACTTTCAAATAAATGATCAAAAGCACAGAGACTACAACTAGAGAAAGATTTTTAAAAATGAAAATGCGAAGTGGGGATGGTTTCAGTTTTAACTTTAATATATCAATAGAGGGAGACAGTTTGATAGAGAGTGGCAATTCGTTCAACAGCGATGAAGCAGCATAGGCATAGCCAATGTAGATTTCGAATGATCGCTGTAATATGTAAACGTCTCTTAGTGAGAGAGTACACTCGGGCAGCAGAATTTTGAATTTTTTGCAACCGGTTGATAGAAAAAGATGGTAAGCCAACGAATAGAGAATTACAGTACCGTACTCGCGCGAATAAGCGCCCCATTTGAATAAGCGCCCTCTCGAATAACCGCCCCTCCTAACATGAAAATTTCCTTAAGCGCCCCGTTTGAATAAGCGCCCTCATAAGATTTTCTTTTTAGCAAGTCAATAATTCAATCAATCCTGGGACTGTGGTTGTTGGCATGATTTGAGCTGTAGAGTGGAAACACATTCTTCTTCAGTCAATATCAAAATGAGGATATTTTTCTTGGACAGATGAGAGCTCCGATCCTTGGACAGACAGTATATTTCCAACTTTACTCTTTTTACATATTTGTCTATACCTAGTCCTACTCCTCTTTTTTTTCCCGACCTTTAGCACATTCTCATCTAGTTTTCAAGAAAAAATACAATGATCCTGCCATCCTGCTAATCTCAATCGGCCGATGGCCAACAAGCTAACTACTATCCACCACCACTAATTGCATCTGCTATTTTGCTGTTATGTAAATATTCACGCATTCTTGTCATGAGCCATGTTCTCTTGAGGATTATCTTTTCCGCCTAACCACCATTCGTTCTGTCTTTTTCAGAAAAAGAGCCTCTTGAATTTAAGAATTTCCCATAAGAACACCTTGATTTTCATCTATTTCCATAAGCGCCCCCTCAATTTCCACTCTGTTTTCATAAGCGCCCCGTTTAAATAAGCGCCCCGTTTGAATAAGCGCCCCTCAGAAAGTGCAAAAAATATTTTAAGCGCCCGGGCGCTTATTCGCGCGAGTACGGTACATATATATATTTTTTTTATTATTATTATTATTATTATTATGTAGGCGAAATGTGTGTGCGTATTTGTATATATGTACATACGTATTATATATGTGTGTGTGTATGTGCATGTATATATATATATATATATATGTGTGTGTGTGTGTGTGTGTGTGTGCTAACTACTAGCTAACACACTTAGGAAAGACTTCCTCTCCCTCAAATAAGTCCCCACCATCGAACCCTTATTCTGCAACCCACCTGTCCTTGCCCGCCGGCAACCCCCCCACTGAAATCTCTCATCACCTTCTCTAAGCTCCCCACCACGACTCGTGATCATGGTAACACTACTTGTCAAAAAGCTAGATGTCAACTGTGCAAATTCATCAACAGATCACACATTCTCACCCCCTGGCACTACATACAACATTCACCCTCCCGCTGCCAACTGTGATACATCCAATTTTGTATACTTAATATATTGTAATATTTGTTGCCACGGTAATTATGTAGTTGAAACCGGCACCAAATTCAGACTTGGATCAACAATCACAAAAATATACATAGATATATAATTACATAATAGGTCTTATTAGTATTTTTATCATGCATATGCATATGATTGGACTTCTCAAATATTTCACCTTTTCCATTTCTCTTATTTTTACACGTGCTCTATATATATCTGTCTCTTATACACATCTAGATGTGTATAAGAGACAGCTATCTATTTATCCTGTTTAGACCCTAGACTGTACCACCAGATTATTACATTATTTATCTTGTATTTAACACCCTAAGATTGGGCTACTTGATACCTAATTTCGCTTATTTCACTCTATTTTGTAACTTCGTATTTATTTTTTATTTATAACTAACTATACAGTTCAATTTTTTTCAGTGTATTTCATTCATTTTGTATGGGCCACTATGTTTGGCTCTCTACTTTCATTATTTACTCTCATAGACATCAACAGTGCCATGTATAAACTATTTGTTATTTTAGATATACACCCTTTATTATTATGTTAATGTGACAAGATGATCTGTCTAAGCTATTTGATAGTCTTCACTTACACGCTGAAGAATGTTGTAGGAACAACCGAAATATACGTGAAACTTATAAATAAATATTTTTGTGTTACTTTACCTTCAATGTCTGTATTTTCATTTACCATCGTCTCCATATTTGGCCACTGCTGCATTGAATTTGGTCACTGCTGCATTGAATTTGGTCACTGCTGTATTGAATTTGGTCACTCCTGCATTGAATTTGGTCACTGCTGCATTGTAATGCCCACTGAAGGCATTCCTGGCGTTTCATAGCTTTGGCCATGGTCAGTGGTGGCGTCATTTAAAAACAGTTGGTTGTTTTCTATGGGGTGCCATACGTAGCAAAAGTCTATGTTAAAATGAAAATGTAATTCGAAAATTCAATGTCTAATTTATCAAAACGTAGGCGTAAATTTCTCAAAATGTAGATCTGGTTTCCCAAAATGAAGTTCTAATTTTTCAAAACGTAGTTCAAATTTTTAAAAATGTAGTTCTAATTTCTTTAAAATGTAATTCAAATTCAAAATGTAGGTCTGACTTGATCAAACGCCCTCTCCAAATTCTATTCCAAAACGTAAATCAAAAACCAGCCTGGTTTGAAATGTATTTGACAACAACACTAGAAACGGACTTTTGCTGCGTATGGCACACTAGTGCGAAATGTAAATCAAAACTAATCAGCCAAGCATGACGTGGGCCTGTTCCATTAATGATGGGGGAATCATTTTTCGCTGCAGTCCAATGCCGTGAACAACGCTTCCCAGTGCGTCTGCTAATTTTTAATGGT